CTCTGCAAAGGCATGGGTGGTTCACTTTCTGTGAATCTCTCGTTCAACCGCTCTCAAAATGTATCAACGTACCAGGTGTTTGTCACATAATTACATAATCAGTCACTGCACGTTCTTAGGCTTATCCTGAGACATACTCAAAATTCAGTTTCATCTGGTTTCCTCGCGATGTATCCTTCACAGAAACTTATAAGAGTTTCATTGGTACGTAAATAAAAGCGATCGGCAAATACCTGAACTGCTTCTTGTAGATCATTATTACAGCCCTTCACAAGTTTACTACGTAACATAGGCCTCCCACGAGAAATGCCACAAAGCACGGTGCTGAGCCACCTCCATCGACTTCCTTCATGCCTTACACTTCGCTTTTCGGTACGAAGTTGCTGCTTGAAAACCGTTCTTTCCGTACGGTTATCAGTTTGTCGAGCTATTTGACACAATTGTACCCTCAGCTTTTACTAATCTTCTGTCTGAATAGCTTATATATTTAAATCTAAATGAAAACCCTACGTTTGTAGTTTCATTTTGTGCACAGAATTCGAACAGATCTATAATTGAAACTGAATCCGCAACCTTGCGAAAACAATATCTTTGCCAACTATGCTATTGGGTCATAGTGAAAGTAGATGCTATTTATGCGTGATGCCAATACATTTCTCTGCTGTTCTAGAATCAATTTTTAAAAGTTCTAGAATAAAAAAAATAAAGTAGAAGCCTGAATTTTTCTTCCTTTCTTTTTAATTTCTTTTCTTTTTAATAAACGTTACCCCCACTAGTAAGTAATCCTAGAATTTTCTCCTGTATCCTGGATGCAGTTTACATACACAAATTTCACAAGGACAAACATCCAGACCCGGAACAATTTTTTGTAGGCCACACAAAAACTTTTTCCGTGCGGTGTACTAAACCGTGGCCGTCAGCGCTGCAAATCATAGATAACCTATATTATACGTGGTAGAGCCATGCTGCAGCTATATTAGTAGTATAGTTGTAGCACGAATGGGTTGACTCAACCGGGAAAGCACCACGCTCTCACAGAATACCAGTGTAAAATAGCAGCTGAACACTGCTGTGTTTCGTATGGTTGAGTGTAGAGAACCGGAGACCCTTTTTACTGGATAAGAGGCATTCCATCTTACTCCTCACGAGTGACAACGCATTTGCATTTAGATTCGCAAACGAGGATAGATGTAGATGTCTATGGGCTACAGCAACCACTTACCATGAGGTGGACTGTGTGCTCGTTTGTCACTCGATCCTATAAAAAAAGCCACTGTGTCACAAATCCGTCCGAAAGTGAGTGACAAACAAAGTTACAACCCACCTGTTGGTAAGTGGATACTGCTGCTACATTTGCAGCCAACTTCAACCAAAGAATGCTACAGATACGTTGTCACCTCTGAGAACTAACATAGAACGCCTCACAGCCTGTAAATACACTGAAGGGTATAACCCTTTAGACCAGAACAAATTACTGCTATTTGATGGCATAAATAGGTGAGAGGATGGTATCCATCAAGACGGACTCCTAAAGAGAAAAGGATTCCTACATTTAGTGAAATTATTTTGTATTCAAATTGCTACCGTGCTGTTATAATATTAAAATTTTAATTCTCAACAATGTTACCATCTTCGAATGTATTACTGTAAAATTCACACAAATGGTTTACCGCTGGCAATAAAACCACATGATATTAACATGGACGTATATAAAATTATAAATTTATATCTGTACCAATTTATTTCTAGATTTTTTAAAATACTGGCAAAGTTATCAACGTTTACATTAAAATAAATTCTCGTCAAATCTTATGAATTTTACCCTCAAATTTCCATCCGCAACTACAGCCACCAATCTGTCTCGGCCTTTGTACACTAATGCACGTTCATAGGCTGAAAACAAGTAACTCCTTCGCCTTTATAAATAAAAATATTTTAACTTAGATTGTCTTTAAATCATTTATTCACATAACATTATTTCTTTTATAGAATAAGGCTGGTAAAGGAGTATACAGTCCACCTGATGGTAAGTGGATGCTGTGGACCATAGACATCTACATTTATCCTCGTTTAAAAATTCAAATGTAAATGCGTTGTCGCCCCTACGATGGAATACCTTGTTTCCAGTAAAAAGGGGTCTCCAGTTCATTACATTCACCATATAAAACACAGCAACATTTAGCTGCTATTTTACGCTGGTATTCTGTGAGAACGTGATCCTTCCCCGATCGAACCGACCCATTCGGGCGTAGATCTACGCTTATAAAATAAAACATTCTAACTGGTGTTTATTACTGGTGAATATTTTGTTTTTGATAATGACGAGTGGTGTTCCACTACACTGTAATTTTTGTATAATTATCTGCTTAAAAATCAATAATTAAGAAGGAATAGACATGGAGGCATCCAGCCGTGTCCAAACCGCATAGACTATCATATCATCCGAACGCTTCAATTGTTTTATTTCAAATTTGACGAAGCTACATAAGTACTTGTGGTTGCAAACCACACTGAAAACTTGTTATCTGTTTTGCGTGCATCGATGCGGATCTGCGACGGTTATACGCTAGATTGGAAAAGTATAAGTTCGCGGTCTAGACTGCTAGGTGTTGACATAGTGTACTGCGCTGACAGAGAACTTACAAACGTCGTGTTTAAGCCATCATAATTATATTGAGAACAAGTGAAGTCCACCAACGCACACTCCAGGACTGGTGTGGTGCACTTACTGGTCCATACCTTGCACAGAAGTAAAAGGAGGCCACAGGCCTAAGAAAAAGGAAGCCACAAGCCTGCCCTTTCTTGTTCCAAAATCCTAGGATATTTGATTGTGTATAGGATGTATAATTAGTTTTTTAATATCCTACATACGTCCCATTGCGGGGCACAGATCTCCTGTATTTTTGGAGAGGATTTTGGGGTAGGCAAAAGCTAGCCACGTACTTCAATGCGTGTCGATTTACCGAGGGGAACAATTAGTATTGATTTTATTCAGTTTATCGAGTATTTTTCAAGGGGCCGGGAATTTTTTTAAATTATCGAGAAATTCAAATTAACGAGTTTAAAATTATCGAGAGTTGACTGTAATCATGTACTGCGTTTTAATAGATTAATGTATTAGTGCAAACGTAAAAGACTCAGTTATCAAGTTACTCTGTGTAACTCCGTAACTCAACCCGCCTACACAAGGCTGGCAACCCTTACAAGGTCACTGCCAAGATCTAGCTATTAGATCCTTTCGCGGTTTACAACTATATTTATAGCTGGCTTTACTATTAACTACACTATAAATTCTGTTTTTTAAAAAATCCAGTAAAAGAAGCGTAATTTAGTAACGTAGACTAAATCTAATAAAATTTTTAGAATTTTAGTTGTATAATATTTATACAAAACATATAAAAAATAATTGTACTGAGTACTCTTATCTTTCATCATTAGCAATATACTCTGTGGTTCTGAGGGTTCCCTTCTAAATATTAACTGTACTCTAGGGAGGGGTCTAGAAATTTGTCACGGGGGAGACCGATGTGGACCAGTGGGATTTGACAGATTAAACTAGAGAAAACAAGGAATTTCAAGTGATTGCTAAGTCTGATTCGATTTATAAGCTCATCGGGAAAATAGTTTAAAATAAATTCCTAAATTCCACCCGGAACGACAGACAGACAAACAAGAAAGTGACTTAATAAAAACGTGGCAATAATATCTAAAATATGATATGATGCGAATTTCGAACGAACCCTGAGAGCGCGAAAGAATGCGAGATACTTTGTAAAAGGTCGATTGTCAGACATACATATTAAGACTCTTCATTGTTAGATGTACTCGTTTCAAAATTTCACAGATATTAACCAATGCGTATTAATATACTTAGTTTAGATATTTTTAATCTAAGCAAACCAAATCCATCAATAATTGCGTATCACCGTTTAGTACTGAATATTGACTTCCTCACAGAGTAACAATATTATTTAAATATCAACCGACACATAGATATTGAAATATATAGATTCAATATCAGATATTCATATCCAATAGATAGATATAATAATAATAATAATGGTTTTTTATATATTTATGTATTTTTTATGTATTTATTCTATGTTATTGATATTTATGTATGTTTATATATTTTGTTTACAATTATATATTTAAACAGCCCAACCAGATGAGAAAACTTTATAGATAACCCCAATAATAATAATAATTTATTAGACTCTCAGTTTGACAAATTACACTTATGTATTATATCTATTTTAAATTACAAAAAAAACATTTCAAACAAGTTAGCGTTGACGGCCATACTAGTATAAACTGTGTTACAGCCGTCAGGTATAGGGTAAAAGAGGTATTGTCCTAGCCTAATCAATATGCACCTGAAATGTAACTTAAATGATCTACCCTAGCCAGCATTTCTATCGGAATGTGAGGTCTTTTTGGCTCCTACAGTCGTCTCGTACGACACCCACGAGATGAAATGCGGTGGGATTTTTTTTTTTTAGAAAACGTTACAATAAAATATTGTCCTATATCGTTACAGACATAAATTGCACATGGACAAACATCCAGACCTGGAACTCTTATTAGTAGGCCATACAAACACTTCCGTGTAGAATTCGAACCCGCGGCCTCTGATGATTAGTGGTTACTGCAGCCTCTAGACATCTATAACTTCAAATCACCTTCTTTTTTATATAGAATAAGGTGACAAACGAGCATACAGTCCACCTTATGGTAAGTGGATGTTGTGGCCCATAGACATCTACATATGTCCCAAATTAAGAATTAAAACGCAGATGCGTTGTCACCCCTGAGGATTAAGATGGAACGCCTCGTTTCCAGTAGAAAGGATCTCCGTTTCTCTACACTCACCATACGAAAAACAGCAACATTACGCTGCTATTTTACGCTGGTATTCCTCCGTTGTCCTTCCACGGTAGAGCTGAACCACGCCGGTATTCTGTAAGATTAAATAAATAAATAAATGAAAATTGTTACAGCGTGTTCGTACGTTCACGACTTCACTGGAGGAGTTGGCAGCGCGCGTCCAGGCGGCAGAAGCGGCACGAGCCTCGTGGCGCGCTCCGGGAGATGCCAGAGATGCGCGTGCTCAGTTGGATGCTGTTTCCAGAGCACGTGCCCAACTGCCGCCACTGCGGCGCCTCGCTGACGAGCTTCGCGCCCAAGCTCAGCAACTGGCGAGGGATAACGTCCAGTTACCGGACCATTTGAGGGCGCGACTAGATGACCTTAATTCTAGGTAAGTGTTTTGGTTTTATTATGACGTGTCCAGATTAGTTCTCCGGGTTGACAAAACACATACATAGCTATCTTAATTTGGTATCGATTGCTGCAATACGTTGTCTGCAGTAACCAATCGGCAGACTAAAATAATTTAAAATTAAAAATTTTGTACAACCGACTTCAATATAAGTTATTAAGAATAACTCAAAAAGTATTGGTGTGACCTTGATCTTAATCAAATTATATGGGACCACACGAGAAGTATCAGCTTTCAAACAAAAAAAGAATCATTGAAATCGGTTCACCCAGTAAAAAGTTATGAGGTAACACATATAAAAAAAAAACATACGGTCGAATTGAGTACCGTCTCCTTTTTGGAAGTCTGCAGATAAACTATCTCAGTCTATCTATATACATATAAAGAAAATTGAAGTGTATGTTTGTAATATCGCAATAACTGTCTTCTGCTCGATAGAATTTTTGATTCGAATTGCTTCTGAGAGTTATTTGCATGTTATTAAGACATGAACAACCATTTGTAAAAATTTTGGCTGTCTGTCTGTCTGTTTGGGCTATACTTCGAAATGGCTGAACCGATTGTGGTGAAATTTTACAAACTACATGTTTGAACAGCAACAGCAGGAATTATTGACATTTTATTCAAAATAACTTTGATAACTTGGATAACGGTATAATGATTACGTTTAATGTTTGTAAACTGCCTCCACGATACAGGAGAAAATTCTAGTGGGGATATCCTGGAGGGAAACGATTTTTTAGAATAAAATAAAAAACATTACCTCTTTTCTTTAATCACTCTCAGGACTAAAGGATTACAGCATCCATCAAACACTACTACAAAAGTGCTATGAGATAAAGAATGTAGGACAGTCGAGCAAGCATTTCCTGTCCTATACGTGCATAGAGAACAAAGACCTTGCCATACACCAGTCTATCGCAACATGATCTGAATATCTAGCAAATGTCAAAACATTGATATTACATTCCATACAGACATAGTCACATGGTTCACGATTATAAATGACTAGCGACCCGCCCCGGTATCGTCTAGAAATAATTTATTAATGTGGTCAAGCCACGCTGCAGCTATATTATGGCTCTAGCACGAATAGATCGGCTCGACCACGCTCTCTTAGAACTTTTCTCACAGAATACCAGCGTAAAAGCAGCTAAATGCTGCTATGTTTCGTATTGAGAACCGGAGACCCTATTTACTGGCAAAGAGGCATTCCATCTTAGTCCTCAGGGGTGACAACGCATATGCATTTTGGTTAGTAATCGAGAATAAATTCCATAGCATCCACTTACAATGAGGTGGACTGTGTGCTCGTTTGTCACTTTTAATCTATAAAAAAATGATAATCAAAGACCATGTATGTTATCAATTCTTGTTTTTATAAAAAAAATCTAGTTTTCCAGATAAAATATAACCTAGATCCCTGTTGGCATTGCTCTCCATCTGTTCGTAAAGTTTCGTCACAATCGGTTAACGATTCCAAAGATTGCCGGATAGACAGACATACATACAAACTTTTAAAAAACGGTTATTTATATCTTAATAAATAACCCCCTTATCTTAATAGAAGTCAGTTATTAAAATATTACAGACAGACACTTCTATTTACATTTATATTCAAAGTTAACTGTTAATTCCGATCGCGGTA